TCACATTCTCTATGCTCGAGGAGAGGGAATAAATGATTCCAATATTCTTTTCTAAATTAAACCAAACCTGTTGCCGTCGAGTCGATTCCAACTCATAGCAACCCTTTAGGGCAGAGTAGAACTAACAGCCCCACATGGTTTCCAAGGAGCAGCTGGTGGATTCGAACTGCCAACCTTTTTGGTTAGCAGCCATTGCTCTTAATCACTGTGAAGGATTAAGGCGAGGATTAAATGAAAGCACTTTATGTAGGGCAGGGTTTTAGTCAAAGAGAAGGAAGATGATTTTCCCATAGTACTGAATTATAAATCTTCATCACTCTGTTATTCTTTCACTGTAGTTGAATTTAATGATGAAAAACTTAACCCTGCAGTCCCTAGTACAGTATATTCTCACAAAATCCTTCAACAGATTCAATATTTATTAAGAGCCTTTATACTTAAAACAGAGTAGTAGGTACATGAGGAATACAAAAGTGAGTATGGTCCTGATGGGAGAGGGCTTTTATAAAAAGCCCCAAAGACCAACTATTTGAGTGCTATAATTGAGATAAAAGCCAAGCATAATTAAAACTATATAAAAACAGGAGCTAGGCCTGCATACTATAGTGTACCAATTTAATTTTTTTTAATCTTGCATTAACATATTATTTATCTTGGTTACTGAGATTTTGGCATTCCTTTAAATTTTGTGCCTGAGACAAATGCCTCTCTCCTCATACCCTGTTTCTAGCCCTGATAGATGCATGCAGGACAAAGGTGAATTCCTACTGGGGGATCAAAATGGAGTTTATAGAAGAGCCAGATCTTAAAAGATAGGGAGAACTGGGGCAGTTTCTAAAGAGAAGAAAATGATTCCTCCTTACCACTCCATCTCCTCTGTTCTATACTTTAATCTTTCCTTCTTCTTTTGCCGTTAATGTTGTATTTAGCTTAGCAAAATCTGCAAAAAATACTAAAAATTAGCTATTAGCATTCTTTTGCCACATTCCATTTCTATATTATGCTTCCTTCCTGTTTTAACTTTTTTTTTAAGTCCATATATGCATCTGAGAAATTCTTGAGTGATACTCTAGTTTTTATCTTCCCACTGCAAACATGTTATCCCTTGCAACCACACAAAATGTATTACTGGTACAACTTCACACACCAGTTAATTTTCTTTCTTACAAATTGCGATGTGTGTTTACATGTGTGAGAGAGGGAAAAGGAAGGGAGAGTAAGAGAGAGAGACCATTACATATATCTAGGAATTTAACCTAAAATTCCAAAATATTTTTAATTAATAACTTAATGTGTATATCATTTAGGACTTATGGTCAGCTGCTAGTAACAGAGACTGGAAAGATCAGTTTCTTTTTTATGTTTTTTTTTTTTTTTTATTGTACTTCAGGTGAAGGCTTACAGAACAAATAGTTTCTCATGAAACAGTAGTACACATATTGTTTTATGACTTTGGTTAACAACC